TTTAACCAATACACAAGGTAAGCAGCCGCGTAGGGCCCCAGGAAATCAGAGGGCCCAAATAAATTTCCTGATTTCCTGGGGCCCTACGCGGCTGCTTACCTTGTGTAGTGACAATCTTGGAATTCTTTATTTTTGTTATTTATTTACATTTATTAATTAAAACTGACTATTGTTTTCATAGAACTATGTTTTTTTATTACCAATGATGAATTATCCATCATTGACTATAATAGGGTATATGCTCAGCTAGTGTTTCTTCCCATACCGATAAACAACCAGTGAACAGTTATGTGACTTTTTTCACTTTTCTAGAAGTACAAATGATAATATGAATTAAATATAATATTGTTTTCTATAACATATCTTGTAAGCTGAGGGTGTAAACATTTTTATTTTAACGTAATTATTACATATGCACAAATGTGTCCCCCACAATCATGAACCAGTCCAGCAGTCAAATCAGTAAAGATTCAGTTTTAAAAACGAAAAAGTTCATTTATGTTTAGTTGTGAATTCATCTAAAGAAAATAAATAGTTTTAAAAGTTTTAGAAGTTTTTTTTTACTTGTTATTATTATTTTGCATTAAGATAAAATGTAGAAAATGAGATTGAACGATATAAGAAAAAAATAATTAATTAAAGTACAAAAGGTGCATTTTAGAACTTATAGGCCCCTTGGCTGGAATTGTTTAGGGCCCCAAAATCACTAAATCTGCCCCTGTATGACCATACCTGTATGTCTCTTATCAATGACGCTTTTACTCACCTGTCAGTGGGTTTGTACGAGTCTTTATACGAGTTTAGCATTCTTTTCTGGGCTGTAATACAAATAAAACTGCTTAGATTGATAACAGATTATCAAGTCTTTCAAAATACGTCTGTCTGGTTAAAGCAAAAAAAAGGAGCTCTTGTTGAAACTCAATATGTCGACCCCATAAGTGAAATACGATAGGAAGGAGAAACATAAAAGAAAACACTTTCAAACACAAGAAAAACGCGAAATTTAAGACGGCATAGGACTAACTTAATAACATCCAACTTGATAAACAGATTTGGTTTGACAGATGCTCATCTGTTTCGTCTTGAAAACTTCCTATAATTACTTACGTCTGTGTGACACAATTCGTCAGCCTTCATTCGGTACTTGTCTTCCAATATCATAGCAACAAACATGAGAATAATGTACGGTTGTTTTCATAGGTTTATTCAGTCACCTGTTGCGAGACTTTGTTACGGCTCTCTAAACAAAAGCTCCTCCCGCAACATGTTCACTGGCTGCTATGGAAACCAACTCACCAAACAATGCTGTGCTCTAGGAATATTTGTCAAACCTTTCCAACCCTTTACATTTCTAAACCATCACGTTAATACTCAGATAGCTATATTATCAACTTATTTACAAAAAATCAAGGAATGTTTTAAAATCTTTATTCATATATACAAACGTTGAAGAAAACTTTATAAAACATTGCATTTTATGAAGATCCTGTTCTTAATATAAACAAAAAAACTTCTACGAATGCACTATTAAACACTTAGATACTGTCAAAAAACTACAAATTTGAAAATTGCAGCAAAACACACTACCTGTCAAAAGTTTGGGGTCAGTTTTAAAATGTTTTAAAAGCTTCTCCTGCTCACCAAGACTGCATGTATTTCATCAAAAAATACAGTAAAAATGGTACAATGGTATTGCACTATAAAATAACTGTTCAAAAGTACTTTATCATTTAATTTATTCCAGTGAGTTTAAAAATGAATTTTCAGCTTCATTAGTCTAGTCGCACGATTTTTCAGAAATCACTCTAACTTTATTATCACTATTATTATTATTATTGGTAATAATAATAAAAGCAATAATGACTGTAATCATTTAATTTAAAATGACACAATAAGAGAGCAGTTATTTAAAATATTAATAAATATTTAACAATTTAACCATTTTTTAAACATTTAATACATGTAAAATTGATGAAAAATATTCTTAAAAAAAAAAAAAAAACATTAAAAAAAAACTTGACCCCAAACTTTTGACCAGTAGTTTACACTAAAAACAAAAGCTATTTAAAATAGTAGCTCAAATAATTTATTTGGGACTAATGAAAAACTTTAGATTTTAGTAAACTTAAAATTCCATGTCCCAAGATGTTAGTCTCTATTTTATAATGGAGTTTTCCCAAACAGAGCGAAAAAAAAATGTGTCAAAGAAAATCACAAATAATAAATAAACTTGCAGTCAGACTGGTTCGTTCATTTGTAACTTTTAAGTAATGTAAAAGTGCTGTGACATTTCCTAATAAATATAGGTTATAGGCTTTTTATTAAAAAAAATAAATAAATAAAATAAAATGCAACAGCACTTTTAAAACCTTTGATACCATCTGGATGAAATTATTTTAAAATTAATACAGTTTTTTTAAAGCATTTTAGGGAAGTCATCAAAACTATCAAGCTATTCGGTAAATACCTCAGACTACTGCGAACATTACTTTAAATGTTCATTTTGATGTTTTACTGCAAAATGCTAAAAAATACCAAAACAAAAATAAACATGCTATGCAACCAGATTTTAACACAAACTGAGAATTTATTTGATTTTAGATAAAAACGACTTTTTATGAAAAAAATAATGTTTTATATAAGGCAGTACATCAAATATTATTCAATATTATAAAGCAGAAATTTTAATTTTAAAAAGTACTTATATATGATCTTAAAATCTATAGGGTCTGATGGATTTAACTTCATTTATTATCAAATAATGACAATAATTTAATTTGCAATCACCGAACTTTCAAGTTTGGGGTGACATTTTGTATTTCCAAAGAACATACTGTTCAATTCTTAGAACTGACAAAACCCTAAAGCAAATAGGTTATGGTTGTATACAAGTCAGGAAAAACAAAATTAAGAAAGTCAAAACCCCTTTGATCTTCACTGCGGTTCAAAAGAAGCCAGGAGGGGAATTTCCGTTTGTATAGTTCAGAGGCCACAGCAACTATTCGCTGACACTTTTTAAACTTAATGTCAGAGCATCACGGCGAGGACACTTTCATTGTCACACTTTCCATTCATCTGCTTTTAAGATCTGAGCCATTAAATTTCCAAACATTCACCAATTATGATTTTATTAAGAAAATATCAAAATATATGCTGGTGTAATAATACAATTGTAATTAAAATCATGTACAATATGACCGAGAACATGAAACACATAAGCACCTATAATTTATCCTGAAAACCATTGCAGATAGATAGAAAACTCATGTATGTATATTTAAGTCAATTACACTTTAAATATTAACATTTGTACAATACTGTGATTCTAAGCCACTTCAAGTGACCAAGAATAAATTATAAAATTATGTGATGAGCTTAAAAAGAAGCCCAGGTATTAAGACTATAGGACTTAATATAATGTAAAAGACTTTGTTTTTTACATTAAGCCTATATAAGTCTTATTAGCAGGGGTTCGTATTAATAATGTGCATTTATTTTACATTGTGCTTAAAATCATTAGCAAATACATTAAAATATTACAAAAATATACAATAAGAAGATAAAAAAGAACAAAGCATTTCCTGTTAAAAGTCCAGAAGGCAGAAAATAAAAATAAATGACTACTGTATACATACATACACACATATACATACAGGTGAAGTCAAAATTATTCGCCCTCCTGTGAAATTTTTCCTTTTTCAAATATTTCCCAAATTATGTTTAACTGAGCAAGGAGTTTTTCCACAGTATTTCCGATACTATTTTTTTCTTCTGGAGAAAGTCTTATTTGTTTTATTTTGGCTAGAATAAAAGCAGTTTTTTTTTTTAATTTTAAAAGCATTTTAAGGTCAGTAGTACTATTAATCCTCTTAATCAATATTTTTTTTTTCAGTTGTCAACAAAACAAATCACTGATACAAAATGACCTGCCTAAATATCCTAACTTACCTAATTAACCTAGTTAAGCCATTAAATTACACTTTAAACTGATTACTAGAATCTTGAAAAATATCTAGTAAAATATTTGGTGAAAAGCCCTGCAAAAATTTGTAATGACTTTTGTGATTTTTTAAACTTATTTCAATTGATCTGAAGACAAAACAAGATTTACACAAACTGGAAATATATTTCCTTTTATCCATACATGTACACATGAACATGTAAACTATGTCTATAAATTCACTCTTTAGTAAGACATGTCATACTCTTTTTGTTTTTTAAACATGTGTTTAGATATCCAACTAAAATAAACCTAAATTATGCATTTAATCTGGAGTTTTCTTTAAAAAATGTCCTGCCTTTATCAGCCCGCAATGAATCAATGGATCCACTGGTTGGGAAAGGAAGGACGCATTTTAAGGCTGCGTCTGAAGAAGGCTTTACAATTTTTTGAAATGAGACAGCCTTCATCGCGCCGCAATGACGCAGCGCACTTCAAATGCATCCTTCCGAGGATGCAGCCTCTATTGCGTCATCCAGGTGGATGCTGCACCCTGTTGTAGGTTGAGGAGATTCCCTCCAAAAATGTGTAAAGCGTTCTGAGTGTCCAGAAAAGGGATATATAAATGTAACGAATTTATAAAAAAAAAAAAATGTAAAAATACTGTCATCATGGCAATTATAAAAGAAATCAGTTTTTAAATGAGTTAATAAAACTATTATGATTAGAAATGTGCTTAAAAAACTTCTCTCCGTTAAACAGAAATTATATAGAGGGGGGCTAATAATTCAGGAGACATCAACAGTACACACACACACACACACACACACACACACACACACACACACACACACACACACACACACACACACACACACACACACACACACACACACACACACACACACACACACACAGTTCAAATTTGTGAATTACCTTTAAAAGTAAACACTTGTACAGTACTATGACACAAAGCCATTTCATGTGACTGAAAATGAGGTTTATAATCAACAACTATGTGATGATGAGCTTAAAAAGAACGCTGGTATTAAGACTAGTATGGTTTAAAATAAAGATGGTTTTTACTGAAATATTTAGTAAACAACACATCAAAAAAATATGAAAACTTATCTTAAACTACGCTAGTGCATTATTTTAGGTGTGCAGTGTGTAGCTACCAAAACAAAAATAGTGATGCCACATTGTGCAGCTTTTGGTTGTAACTATCAGTGGAAAAACAACGCGTTTCCTGCTAAACATACAGAAGGTTGTGATATCCATCTGTGCTGCATCTTACACTCCTAAAGATGGAGTCAAGATGAGGCAGCTTTTACACTTGCAGTTGCTCCAGCTTTTCTTGCAGTTCTTGTGCGCAGCCTGACAGGTTCATGTAGTGTAATGTCGAATAGATGTTCTCCATTTTGGCTCCGCTGCTCTGACTCCACAGACGTAGCATCAGGTACTGCTTTTCCAGATAGGACGGGCCTGCCTCCAGTTCGATCCGCTCCATCTGATCATCCGACACAGAAAGCAGCCGCAGAAACTCTTTCCAGCGCAACACGGGAATCTCTCTAATGACAGTGTAGAGTACAGGTGCCGGCCACGACTCCTTCTGCAAAACCTGCATCACTGCGGAAACAAAAGGAGATGTGGCCTTTAGATATGGAGGAGTCGGGTTTTGTATGTGTAAGGTTGAGAAACCCCAAGCTGCAAGATTAAAGCAGGGATAGTTCATACAAAAACTGATACCTCTGTCATCATTTACTCATTCTTCAACTTTCTTAATTCTGCTGAACACATAAGATATTTTGAAGAAAGCTGGAAACCTATAGCCATTGACTTCCATAGAATGTTTTCATCTTCCTTTGAAATATCTTCTTTATCGTTCAACAGGACTAAAGAAAATAATGAAGATTTGGAACCATTGGAGGAAGAGTAAACAGTAATTTTTAATTTTTGAGTGAACTATCCCTTTAAATCTCCTGTTGATTGCTTATAATTTGCGGTAAGCAAGTACACAAAGTTCTATCAGTGCTAGCAGATTATACACTGTATAAATATGCCGAGTTTCTCACAATTCCCTCAGGTTGTCCCAACAAAAATCAAGTTAACTGAAGGGTTTTTACAAATTTAAGTGGATTGAACATAAACAATTAAGCAGTCAAACCTGCAATTATTAACTAAAATGTGATTATTTTTAGGGAAACGCAAAGCTATAGTTTCCTGCGGGTCTTGAAGGCATTAAGGCTCACTATGCAGACTGATTGCCATTATTTTTACCAAATTAATACAAAATACAACAACCAAAAATTGAAAACAAAAACACAAATATGCTCTTTTATAACTGCATTAATAACTAGTCTTCAATGAAAGGTTAGCAAGTTTCATACCCGCTTAACTACAATAATAAAATAATGGAATTATTTATCAAGATCATTGTTGGTTCTTAAATTATGTTCTGAAACTCGACAGAGATTTTGGAAGAGATGCGCAAGAAACTAGTCTTTCACACGGGAGAAGTTGGAGGACAGAAACTAACAAAGGTCTTGAAATAGGTGTGGTAACTATAGTATAAATAAAATAATTCGCTCCTGTTCAGTGTATTATTTGAAATAATACACAGCAATTATTTTCAAGTATTTCAACGGCCCATTAGAAATTACCCATAAAGATAAACATTAAGGCTTACAATTTTGTTTAAAATGAAGATATTTTAAAATTTTGCCTGTGTATTATCTTCCGCTAAAGAACAAGCATTTTGATTGTGTCAACACCAACGCTGAGTCCCAATTTGTGTACATGTGCACTATTTGGTGCCATTTTTAAGAATAAATACTGGAAGTAGTGTGTTCACACTCAAAATAAAAACAATAAGGCCTTTGAGAAATGAGGATTTTATTAAAAAAAAACATTTAATGCACTATATAGCAGCTTTTAGGAGCTCACACTTAATAATTGATTATAAATCGCGTTTGGCATGCTGTCCCAGGAAAGAGCCCTGAGCTTAGAAGATCCATGAGCTGGGGCTCCCTCCCTGAAAGGCAAAAAGGGGGTTTGAGCTCAGGTAGGTCTCGAGAACTCAGTCTGGCTTAGATATGGCTATAACAGATTATAGGGATTGCTATGGAAAGATTTACTGCTGGCTAAGAGCTCATCTATGATGCCAATTTGGTTTAGTCAATTCACTTATGGCACTGGACCACTGTGTCGCCATATCTATTAAAAGGGAGGAGTAGGGGTGGAAGAGGGGATTCTTCCAGACGAAGATAACTGAGGTTATTTATGGTGTGTTAGGAATCAGCCGACTGGTGAATCATGTGTTAGCTGATGCGGGACCAGCTGTGGTCAATCATAAGCACTGACTGATGATCCTCTCAAATTTAGTTTATAAATAAACTTCACTTAATTTAATAAATGTTCATAGGTGACTGACATTCAAAGTACATTATTTTGGACACAGCAACAGTTTGGTGTCAATTCAAACAATATTGTTCATACCAATAGATTATAGCCTTCATGAATAAACATAAGATCTAAGGTTTGTATGGATGTATCCCAATGTACCATACATCACATGCAAATATACCTTAAAAACAGCACGTTCATTGGCTGTTTGCTGATGCACGGTCAGAATGTCTATATGCTGACATCAAATTTCACAGGTTTTGTTTTGTGACTTTGGTCCTAACGGCCTAGCTATCCTAAAGATGTAAGAAGAGTATAACACACCTACTATATGTCACACACAGCAAACACGTTACTATTGTGGTTAATGAAAACACCATGGTGCAGTGACACTTTCGGCTAATTAAAGTTTAAACAGTATGAGATTAAAGTAACACAGTTCATATATCATACTAAGAGGAATATCATATTAGGAGGTTGATAGCTTTATTTCTATTCACACAAGTTTATGATTTTGTGTGTGTGTGTGTAGATTAAGAAATCTTAACATATTTCATTTTTTAATTTTTCAAATCCTTAATTTGTACTTTGTTAATAACTACAAAATGAGAAAAAAGCTGTTGATTTTCATCAAATTATGCAAGCTAATGATGGGATTAAAAAAAGAAAGCAGTCCTGGATGAGTGTGCTCATTCAGTGACCAATCAGAATCAAGCATCAACTGACCAATGAGAATCAAGTATTATAAAAAGAACGTTTAACTGTAGTTGTTTTATTCAGGGTTTGCTTTTTATGTATGCATTGTAAATAAAAGATTAAATTAAAAGATCAAAACAAAGAAACTTGCCTTCTTTTCATTCTCTTGAAATCATATTAAAATAATGCATTATTTAATCAGCACTTTTAGCCTGAAGCTTTAAGACAGACACCTACATGTACCTCACACTGAAAAAGTAACTTGAAAGTGTGCAAGTTGTTAGAAATTATAATCTGATTAGGCGATTCTCAGAAGTTTTTTTGATTGTGGTCACCTAGCTTCCAAGCTTAGCGAACAAATTTACATACGCCTACATGATTAGCAAAATGGATAAGTCACAGAGCTAATGAAAAATTGTTTAGAAAAGCAACTTCAAGATTCAAATGATAAAAAAACAACACACCTACGCCTTGTTTTTGCAATATTTTAGATAATTACATTTTGGGTTTCCTTGTGCTATCAGGGGGGTCATGATGCTCTGTATATCTCCACTCGTGATGTTGTGTGGGTAGCTGGTCCCGGGTAAGCTTTTGATAGTGGTTTCATAACGGGCTGAGACATTTCTTCCCTTTAGGGACAAAAAAAATATTATCATGGTGACGTCCGTCACTTAAAATGAAAGAAAGAACATGGGGAAAAACATCCCCTCATCATTTCCACCTTGTAAGTGCATTCTACAGTAGATAACAGAAGATATATATATATATACAAACCATTGGTATGTGAATGTTGATTACATCATTGGGTTGATCTGCTGAAACAAAGACTTTATTTAGAATTTTATCCTAAATACTAAAGATTTTAACTTACTAAAATGTTTAAATTTAAAGGGGCTATACATGAACACTTTTTCATGTATAAATCAGACTGTTATTGCCAAGGGGCGGCACGGTGGCTTGGTGGTTAGCACTGTTGCCTCACAGCAAGAAGGTCGCTGGTTGGCATTTCTGTGTGTAGTTTGCATGTTCTCCCCGTGTTTACGTGGGTTTCCTCCGGGGTCTCAGTTTACCCCACAGTCCAAAGACATGTGGTATAGATGAATTGATTGAATAAACTAAATTGGCTGTAGTGTATGTGTGTGAATGTGTAGGTTTTCCAGTATTGGGTTGCTGCTGGAAGGGCATCCGCTGAGTATACATATGCTAAAATAGTTGGCGGTTCATTTCGTTGTGGCGACCCCTGATAAATAAGGGACTAATGGACGAAGTAGATAAATAAGGGACTAATGGACGAAGTATTTAAATAAATGACGAAGTAGAGCCCTGCATCGGGCTAATTTTCACGTCATAGCTAGTACACATATCGGGCTTCGGGCCTGCTTTAGAAAAAAACGTTAAAAAAAAGTTTTATGAGAACTAATGTGTGCGGATTGGAAAAATTGAAAAAATTTTAATATTGAAGAGAAAAATTGTCAATGATGAACTTAAAGCTGTGAAAAACACTAGAGGAAAGGCAAACTTCTGGTCAACCTTTCAAATGATGAACCAACTGGTTATGCACCTCGCACACCTTGTAAGTGAAATTGAGTAATCTCACTGTGGACCACATACCGCTTGGATATCGATATCACTTAAAAACTTACATTTAAAACCAAACATTTCTCTAAACTGTTCTTTTTTTTTTTAAGGGGATTTCATCTTTATTATCATAGAACAATAGAGATTTCAGACAGGAAAGCATTGGGAGCAGAGAGAGGGGAATGATCGTCAAAGGACCCCGAGCTGGGAATCGAACTTGGGTCACTGTGAGCACATTAGTGTTATATGTCGGCGCACAGTACCACTAGGCTATTTGCACCGACTCTCTAAACTATTTTGATTAAAAAAAAAGCTAAACAAAAACAAAATCAACCTTCTATTAAATAAAAATCTGGTCTATTTTAATGACTGTAACAGCTTCAGGTCAGAATCGGGAAAAACATTTTGATAAACTGTTGGACAAGGCCAGGCCTACAGCCTGTGCGTCTCAGGCCAGGGCCAGGCTAGGGTTTGGATTTAAGGCCTATGCAGGGCTCTAAGTCAAGGGAAAATGAATGAATAAATCAATGAATGTTATTGCCAATGTGTGAACAGCCAATTTAAAAAAGTGAACATCTCTGACTTCCTTGGCTGTCTGTGATTAACCTCTAAATTTCTAAGACAATCAAAAGTGTAGAACATTTACTGTATGTGCACCCTTAAAAACCAGAGTAGCTAATACTGAAATAATCTCCTGTGTTCCACACATAACCCCTTTAAGTGAACATCATTGTTTATGTTAAACTCTGTAATGCACGAAAGCTCTTTTAAACCCTTAACTGAATTCAAATCAAGTACATGTGAATATAAACAAACCTGATCGATTTTGAGAGTTTGGACAATTTTTGGTTTTCCTGCAAAAGCGTCTACCGAACCAGATGAGAAAGAGACTACCCAAAAAAGCCACAATCATCAAAAACACCAGCAACAGAGTGTCAGATAAACCTGTGGAAAGGGACAAATCAAACATTAAAATCAACACAACTTCTATATGTGCGATTCTGCATGTTAAGATGTTGTGATACCTTCTTTATTAATGGAGGAGCAAAACGATTTACAGGACTCGTTTTTGCATTTGACCCTGAAACAAAAGATTATAAACAATGGTGCATTTAGACTTCACATTTACAGTCACTTTCATGATAAATGAAGATAACTAAGAACTACCAATATATTAGTATTTACCAAATAAGTATTTCATAAGTTACATAATAAATATTGTTATTAGTATTGTTCTATTTTTTAGCGTGCTAACGACTGTAATAGTGTTTCAGCGCTAACATCCTGAGCAAATAGTATCGCAAATGCAGGAACTTCAGATGCTGAAACAGGAAAACCACAACCTATTAACCTACATATTAAAGCATTGAATAATCAAACCAAAACTCCCTACTTTTTTATAAATAACGTACACAATCATGTAAATGTTGAAGTTTAAATAAGGTTTTCCCTCAAAAAAAAAAAAAAAAACCTCAAGAATTGTGTTGTTTCAGCTTTAAATACATAGTTTGAACGTACAGAAAACAAAATGCAACACCTTTCAAACCATAACAAAACAATAAACATATTAAATAACATACTTAAAACAGCTTTTGCATTCTCTACCATCCCGAAAAAAGCCACTTCCACAAACTACTGGTGAGGTTCCAATAGTTGTTTGCGGGTTCAAAGCTGAGTGACAAATAGAATAAACAGTATAATGAGTATTACATCAGTTTCCTAGCCACAAGATGCTCAGCATATTTAATTTCAATTATGTTAAAGGAAAATCTTGGCCATAAGTATGTACACTTCCATTAAAGGTACTTACATACGGTGAAGTTTGGGTTAGGTTTACAGAAACGATCAACTCTGATAAACTCCGATTTACAGACGCAGACCCTGTTCTGCGTTGATGTGCATTTTTTCTCTTCCACTTCATGAGCTGTAAAACTATGGCTGTCAGAGTCTTCTATTCACACAAACTTTCAGATAGATCTCGTTGCAGTTCTATAAATGTATTGTGATGTTTTTCTTACCTGGCTCATCACAAGTTATGCATGGTAAACATTTGTCATGCATGTTTGTGCTGTCCATGTAGTATCCACTCTCACAACTAATGCATTCCTGACCACTTTTGTAAAATCCTGCAAAAAATGAGGTAAAACTTAATGTATTTGCTTAGTCTTTTATAAAATGTATTAGATTTGCTTGGTCAGGTGAAGTTCCGTCTTTTATTGTATGAGTTTTACATTTTTGTGTTCGTGTTTTCATGTCTGTTTACCTGCTGTACACTTTCCATCTGTCAAGTTAGTACGTATACTTTGGGAGGCTATAAATTGTATAAAGACCTGCAATAAAAATATATATATATTGCTGTATTAATCTCCATTCAAATGAAACAACAAGCAATTTATAAGGTAACATATTAGAAACTGTTACATATTAGACATATTAAATACATAGTTTACTACATAGAGGGTATTAATTCAGAAAAAAGTGATGTTTTATTAAATACGAGAATATTATTAGTAGTATTCCCTTTATTTCAGACTCTTAGTCCGAATTCAAAAACATAACAAATCACAAAATACAAAAAATAAAAAAATAAAATACAATACCATAAAGATATAAATTGACATATTACAACATATTAAATTTTAAACTGAGGCATTGCTTAAATAATTGTGATAATGTTATGAATAAATTAACTAAAAGATGACATACTTTTTTAGTAATTTAACCTAGAAAATGAAAATGAAGATTAATATTTCACCACTGTCATTTTTTAGTGACAGTCTCTATAAAATGTTTGCAGACAGTTTAAACAAAACAAAACAAAACAAAACAAAACAAAAAAACAAAACAAAAACACCTCACAAACTCTCAAACCAAATCTATCATATGCAAAACAAGTCATTATTTGATATCAGTTTTCAGTAAAATGTTCCTTTTTGGATAACAAATCAAAATAATGGTCCAATGATGTCTTTTAATAGATTTACTAACACGAACAACCAATAAACAGTAAATTTTTTTCAGTATTTATAAATCTTTATTAACGTTAGTAAATGAAAATAAATAGTTCATACTTAATTCACATTAGTAAATACATGAACTAATGAACCAATGTTTTAAAATGTTACTATTATTGTTTTATTTTAGAAACAGATTTGAAGGACTTTTTTTTTTTTTTTTTACAGAACATGAAAATACGTCTGTATAAATGTATGTTTTTGGAAAAAAAAAAAAAAAAAAAAAAATATATATATATATATATATATATATATATATATATATATATATATATATATATTTATATATATATATATATATATATGCACACACACACGTTAAAAATTTTAACCACATTTTTTGAAACAATTAAGGAAAAAAATGCAGAAATAATTTAAATGACTCATGATGAATCATTTTCAGCAAATAGATGTTGAAAATCATCATAATAACATAATATTACATTATAATTTAAATATTGAAAACATGTTATAAGTAGTTTTTAAAATAGACTATAATACCGTATTCATTTTGTGGAACATTTTATTGTGCAATACACATTTGTGCATGTTTCACAAAGCACATCATATAGCAACAGTCTATCATTATTTTAGATTGCATAGCTCATTTACAGCTAAATTGGTGGTTAGTTAATTTAATTACAAATTGGAAATTCTCATCAGAAATAACGGTTAAAACTGAAAACTGAACTCAAAGACAACAACGCTGGTAGAATAAAAGAGGACTTACCAAATCCAGAAACAGTGTTGACAGTATCATGCTGCGAAGATGTTCCGTTTCAGCTCGTAAATGACAGGTAACAATCAAATTAGAACTCATAGACTTACAAATGGATGAAAAGATGAATTTTTCCAGCTCTGCTTCATGTCAGCTTTGATTTCATCCACCTTCTGTCTCACTCAGTCTGTGTATCTGCTCATACAGGAAGGTGAGTAACCAAACCAGAAAGCTTTAATGTAAGAAAGTGCGACAGATGAGAAACAGGAAAACACGTCAAACTATTAACCTCAGCATGGCATGGCAGAACATCTGATCTTTTAAAAGGTCTGCTCGATTAACTTAATACTCATTTGGTTAGTAACTTTTAAACATCAAATCATAATAATAGTTTAAAAAAATTATTATGGCGAACCAAATCAGACAGATGTAAAACATTGACATACTATTTTTTCTTGCCATTCTGGTTTAAATTAAAGCTTTTATTAACAACTTTGATTGCTGAGAGTCACAACTTTTAATTTCCATTTGATGACATAAAACTAAAGAGAGTCAAATACAGATTGGTCCTATTCGTATCTTTATGAAACATCCTGTAAACTTTTGCGCTGCAGATTTTTTTTTCCTGTTTTAGTTTGTCATCTCTTTCGGTGAATGTGCTTCATGTGCTAAATTTTTTAATGAATAAATCAACATATTTAACTATCAAAAATTTGTCCAAACCTCTTTTACAACATGAAAAAGTGTAAAATGTACAGATTTTGAACTTAGGTGGCAAGATTTTGTGATGTTTCCTAACGGTTAAAGTGATCTAACAGCCCAAAATGAACATGTAGTCACCATTTCTTTTTGAGATTCTTCTGTCAAAAGTGAAAGAAGATATTTTGAAATACATTGAAAACCATTAACCATTGACTTCCATGCTATAGAAAACACAAATAATATGCAAGTAAAAAAAACAGGTTTTCACCTTTCAACATATTTTCTTTTGTGTTTAACTAAAGAAAGAACCTCATAGAGGTTTGAAGCAAGTGAAGGGTGAGGAAATGATGACGAAATATTTAATTTTAAGTGAACTATCCCTTTTTTCACAGCCAACTAAAATAAATCTGACTACAACTATGAGAACATTGCACGTCAGGACAAGTGATGATATAGTGCTGAATTAATCTATGGTTTGAACAAATCTGTTTAAGAAATGATTCAGTGTAGTCACTTACAAAGACAATTCACTTGTCGCCACCTACTGGCACTATTTAAGTAACCTGAAGAATAAATATTGGACACCTTTTTCCTAAAAACATTTACTCACACTGATGTTCATGTTTGCCTTATTTAAAATGTACAGAGAAATTAAAATAAATAAAAAAGAGATAAATAAATATAATTTTAAAACTCTGCCACTTAATAAAGCCTTTAATAAAGTGACCAGCATAAGCTTTTAAAGTTGGCATGAAATCGAAGTTAAGATATCCCATGACAAACACTACCGGTCAAAAGCTTGGGATCAGTTTTTTTTTTTTTTATTTTTTTTAAAGAAAATTATTTTGTTTGTCAAGGTGGCATTTATTAAATGTAAAAAAAAAAAAAAGGTTCAATTGTTAAATATTTGTTACAATTCTAAACAACTGCATTCTTATTGTATGTAGCTTCAAATAAAATGATTACCCTGCCATTGTTGCTTTTATTACTATTACCAATAATAATAATAATTATTATTATTATTATAATTATTATTATTATTATTATAGTGATTTCTGAAGGATCATGTGACTCTGAAGACTGGAGTAATGAAGCTGACAGTTCCTCTTTAAAATCACTGGAATTAATGATTAAATTAAATAATAAATTACTTTTGAACAGTTATTTTATAGTGCATTAACATTTCACAATTTTACAATTTGTAGCTACTGTATTTTTGATTAAATGAATGCAGCCTTAGTGAGCAAGATATCCAAGTGAAATTATCCTAATTTTTATTTTTTTAATGTAGGGCAGTCATAATTTTATTATTTAGAAACCGATTAGATTGCTGGAAGATGAGTGTAGCTGACAAAATGGAAGAAAACTGGTGAATGGATAAAAGCAGAGCTGAAATAAGACACGCCCTGATAGTCCCGTCCTAAAGGCATTCCATGTGACCAGAAGAGAAGAAAAGTAATTTCAGGGGGGAAGGTAGGGTTATGTATTTGATTAAAGATTGTAAGGACAAATTAATTCTTACAAAATAATGAAGTGAACACATAGATTGTTAATAACAGGAATATAAAGATAAAAAGAGTATAACTGATTTAATGCTGACTTTTAAAAAGATGCAAAAGTGTCATAATTCAGTGCTCAATGAGGTTTCAGAAAAAGTTCAAATTAAATATTCCATTTCAATGTACTGTATGGTGTTCAATTATGCAGCACTTCACCCTGCAAAAAAAAAAAAAAAAAAAGTATGCAAGTTGTATAAAATCGAGATTAATAAAAACGTAACACCAACCTAGAAATCCCAAAAAAATGTGTATAATTTCTTCACTGAGCAGACAATCATGTCAACCGGAACTCAGTTGATCAGATTACAGTCAGAATGACAGTTGACAGATGAAAATGATAACTTGCGTTGAACACAGCAGATAGATAACATCAGAGAAAAGGCACATGGATTGTAAGTGCTGTGTTTTATGAATCATGATTTCTCACAACTTGTGTGCTTTTCCAGGGCGAGTTTAAGGGACTAACCTGAATGGAGTCTCATGAATGCACAGTCATGTACAGAAGAGCAACAGTCAGGATTTTCAATAAACAGTACATTTAATTTCTGTTTTTTTTTTCTTCCACCAGACCCATCAAAGCATACAATTTATATATTTATTTATTTATTTAGGGTTGATGTTGGTCACCATTCACAGCCATTATATTCTGTTGAAAACATGAGTTTACATACACTGCATAAAAAAGGCACATAACCATTCAAAAAAGTCAGATGGTAATGTGACTAAACTTTTTCTCTTTTGGGTAAGTTAGGATTGTCAAATTCATTTCTGTTATGCTTAATAGCAGAATATTGAGAGAGATATTTTTTGAGAATTTGTTATAACTTTTCTTGAGAGTCAAATTTACATACAAGGCCAGCAGGGGGCGCCCAACCTACGCTCTGTGTGGGTCCTAATGCCCCAGTATAGTGACGGGGATGCTATACTGCTCAGTGAGCACCGTCTTTTGGATGAGACATTAAACCGAGGTCCCGAAGGATGTACTTCAAAAAAGAGTAGGGGTTTAACCCCGGCATCCTGGCCAAATCTGCCCACTGGCCTCTGTTCATCAGGGCCTCCTAATCATCCCCATATTCCAATTGGCTTCATCTCTGTCTCCTCTCCACCAATCAGCTGGTTTGTGGTGTGCGGTCTGGCGCAAAATGGCTGCTGTCGCGTCATCCAGGATGCTGCACACTGGTGGTGGATGAGGAGATCCCCCCCCCATTGTGTAAAGCGCTTTGAGTGCCCAGAAAAGCGCTATATAAATGTAAGGAATTATTATTATTATTATTACAATAAGATTATTATGCCTTGGAAAAAGCTCAGATGATGGTGTCAAGGTTTTGGAAGTTTCTGATTGGCTAATTGACAACATTTGAGTTAATTGGAGGCGCAACTGTACAATAGTATTTAGGAAAACCTCAAACACACTGCTACCTTTTGTGATAACATGGGAAAATCAACAAGCCAGAATCAACAAGGCAGATTACAATTTGCTAAATTACACTGGGGAAAAAGAATAATGTTTGGAGACATGTCCGGTGGTCTGATGGAACTAAGTCTGAACTGTTTGGCCATAATGACAGTGTTACATTTGGAGGACAAAGTAGAAAGCTTACAAGACTAGGAACACCATCTCAACTGTGAAGTATTGTAGCGGCAGCATCATGTTGTGAGGCTGTTTTGCTGCAGGAAGGACTGGTCCATTTCACAGCAAAGATGGAAAGAAAGAAAGAACATTATGTAGAAATACTGAAGCAACATCTCAAGACATCAGCCAGGAAATTAAAACTTGGACACAAATGGGTCTTCCAAACAGACCATGATCCTAAGCATACTGTCAAATTAGTTAAAATGTGCTTTAAGGACAACAGAGTAAATGTTTTGGAGTGGCCATCACAAAGCCCTGACCTCAGTCCTATAGAAAATTTGTGGGCAGAGTTGAAAACGCATGTGCGAGAAAAACAGCCGAAAAATCTGACTCAGTTACACCAATTGTGTCAGGAAGAATGGGCCAAAATTCCTTCAAACTATTACGAGAAGCTTGTGAAAAGATACCCAAAACATTTGACCAAAGTTATACAGGTGAAAAGCAAAGCTAAAAAAATTAACAAGGAAAAGTATGTCAACTTTTGACTGTCTAGAAATTAATAAACAAATTCTCCAAAAAAAATTCTTTCATTATTCTGGCATTTAGCAAATATAAATCATTTAGGTAATCCTAACAGACCTAAAATAGTAAACATTTAATATGATTTACCATCAGACATTTTTTTAAATGGCTATGTTCCCTTTTTAGAGTCAAGTTTACATACGATAAGATTATTATGCCTGTAAACTTCTGGTTTCAACTGTACATTGACTAATGAACATGGGACTTTGTTTTTCTCATATTTTTTATGGTCTGAAAAAGAAAGAAGGGCATAAAACATTAGAACAACACCAAGATGAATAGTATGCCACATCAGTGAATACAATACACAGTTTATAATAAAAAACTAGCTATATAAACTAACAAAACTAACTGTACAGTAATAAAGAACTCTGTTGTGGTACCAACCACATATTGGTATTTTACAGAATGACTTTTTTGCATTAACTTTGAAGTTTATGATTCACCCTTTGTGGCTTTCAACCTGTGATGTGCAGATTAAACACTGAACTTCCACCACCACACCAAGCCTGTGAGCATGACCTATGTCAATGAAGATACATACTAGAAAGATCTAATCTATCGTCTGTTTGTAGGACTTGTGCAGTTTTCAATCTTCAAACACTCTATCCAACATTAATTATGGACATTTATACTATATAAGAATAATATGGCCTTTATAACCAGTTATAACCTCACATTCTATTCGTTTGGTGATGCTGTTAGTGTGAAAATAATGATACGATGCAGACAGACTAAATCAGCCTTATCATATAACAGTCCACCTAAACCGTTACAATGTACAACTAATCAGTGTTGAGTAAGTTACTTTTGAAAGTAATCTATTACAATCTTGCTGCTTTTATTGAAAATAGTAACTAAACGTGTTACTTAGTTTAATTTTAAGGAAAGTAATGTGAAGGTACAGCTGAAGTCAGAATTATTAGCACCACTTTAATATTTTTTTCTTTTTTAAATATTTCCCAAATGCTGTTTAACAGAGCAAGGACATTTTTACAGTATGTGATAATATTTTTCTCTAGAGAAAGTCCTATTTGTTTTATTTTGGCTAGAATGAAAGAAGTTTTAAATTTTAAAAAGCCATTTAAGGTCAGTATTATTAGTTCTCTTAAACAAAATTTGCTTTTGATTGTCTACGGCAGTTGTTGCTAAAGTAGGGCTCGCGGTACAATGAGTGGGGGTCGCTTGGTGGTTTCCAAAAATCAAATTCATTTTAATAAAATATTTGAATTAGGAAGTAGGAATTACCATATTTTATTCATAAGCTACAGAACAAATAGTAGTTAATAGTTTAGTCATAGTTCATTGGATTCTGACTCCTGGGGTGATTACATTTTATTAAAGACACAGACAATAATGTCAGATGCAGAAAATTGATTTTATGGCAGCAGGTTAAACTTTCTGATACCTTTATGGCACTCACATACATTAAATATAAATACAGGCCATGACTGAACATAGAGGATGGTCTCCAAAATTACACTGAGAATGAGACTACATGCAACATTTGTATATTTATGCAGGATAGTCGGGGCCGTGAGTCACTGGGATTGTTATTTTGGAGGCCGGGGGTTAAAGTTTGGGAACCTCATGATCTGCATCATCATACATGACTTGCCTAATTAGCCTTGCCTGCCCTAGTTACCCTAATTAACCTGGCAAATGTCATCATGGCAAAGATAAAATAAATGAGTTACTAGAAATGAGTTATTAAAACGATTATGTTTAGAAATGTGTTTAAAAAAACCTCTCCATTAAACAGAAATGAGGGGGGGGGGGTGTAAACAGGGGGGCTAATAATTCAGGGGAGCTATTCTGACTTCAACTGTATGCGTTCTGTTATTTTTGCTTATTATAAAGATTGTAATATATTACTTTGAAAAAAAAAACTTTAACCAACATCACAATTTTAAGGGATAATTCTTTCATCATTTACTCAGCCTTTAGTTTTTCCAAACCTCAAGTTTATTTCTGCTGTTGAACACGGAAATTATATTTTTTTTAAATCTGAAAACCTGCAACAATCGACTTCCATATTTGTTTTTTTTTTTTCAATAAGAAAGTCAGTAGTAACAGTTGTAACAGGTTTCAAACATTTATCAAAATATCTTCTTTTGAACTCAATAGAACAAAGGAAATCATAAAGGTGTGGAACATTATGTCAGAAACATACACTATCTGTCCCTGAAATAAAAACATAAATACAGTGAATAAGAAATGTTGCATCCCAAAAATGTTTAAAATGTACTGATGGTTGATTTCTGCCAGTTGTTCTGTAAAGGAATATGTCATTCATTTGCTTCTCAGATTTTTGTTCTTTATTAAAAACACTTTACAATTTACAAATTATTGTCCTTGTCCTCAGCCCAATTAAACCAACAGCTTTAATAGTTTTGTAATGCTAAAAACTTATTCAGAAATAGCAAGTTTAAGTTATTATTCACATCAGTTGATTATAAGCTTGAAATTATAAATACATTCTACAAATAAATACTACTAATGTGTATATATATATATATATATATACAATTTTTACAATTGTCGTGTTTCATGTTTCTGTCAGTCTTGTCACATTTGAATTAAATTTAACATAAAATACTTGCAATAAGGCTACTCAGAAGTAATATAATTTGATGGAGGAGAAGCTGACAGGGGTCAAGGATACGTTCTATCATTGAATTGTATGATTTTATGCTTGTTTTTGTATGTTTTTTTGAGGAGGACAAGCTGAAGTCAAGCCCTTTCACATTTTTTTACAAATGAAAATGCACATTTGTGGTAGAATGCCCCATATGTAACCACCTGAAGGAGAGATAATAGTGAGTAAAAATTAATTTTGGGTAAAGCATCCCTTTAATCTACAGGATGGCCAATTATATGGACACACCTTAATAAACTTTTTGGGAATTTCACAAGAAAAACAATGGTGCACTTGGTTCTAAATGTAACTTCATTCTTTCATGAGTTATTTACAAGCCCTCTTTCATATACTGTACTAATGTGCCACAAACAGGACGTTAATATCACCAACCATTCCCATTTTATTAAGGTGTATCCATATAAATGGCCCACCCTGTAGGTTATCTTGCTCAATGAATTAAAATTATAGACATGGTTTTATAGCCTAGTAATAACTATATAAGCCTGTTGAAAAAAAAAATGTTAGATGAGGATAGTCAGTTTTTCTACTTGTCATATTTCACATTCAGTCAGTGTGCTGCTTATTTGTAAATATTCGGAGAGAAAATTGCCTCCACACGAAATCTCTGTTCAGTAAAATAATCTAAATCTGATTGCTGTATCATCATTTTTGGAAAGTCTCAATTATGTTGTCTGTAAATGTCTTATAAAGAGAAACACGTTTTAGATAATGCAAACAGATGACGTGCGACCGATTCCTTCGACCTAGAAGTGATGACTGAATCCGCGTGAGACAAAAAAGCATCATTTGCAGCAGCTAAAAATGAGGGATTTTTGGTGAACGGCACCCAGAAGTGAACAGCCTGACCCGGAAGCTGTGCTGTCTGGAGGCACATAGAGAACATCCAGCCTCTTCTCTGCTTTATAAAAGACTCTTCTGCGAGGAAAAATACCCTGACATCGATATAACAGGTTTGTGCTCTCGTGTCGTTTTTTTCCTTTTTCCTCACACTGAGATGTCTTGCACGTTTTCTGTTTTGTACGACAGATAACAGTTTGACGGGCGCGATTTATCGCCTTTGATCTACCACAGGTTGCACAAAGCGAAATATAACATTGGAAATTGCTGCATGTCAGTGCATTTTTACATGCATGTGCTTATGATGGAAACGTGCATGCGTTATAGCGCTGTTATTAAGCGATCGGGGCGGCAGATGTTGTAAATCTGCACAGCCGTGCGCAGCCTTTCGCCAATTGTAAGACATTTTGCACGGCATGATTGTCGGAAGTGTCAGCTTTTTTTCAAGGGGGGCCGGGCAATTCAAAGGTGCTATTCTTCATAAACAAACACACACACAACCATATTACCGCAAACATCTCGTCTGATCGATCGGTCTCTCCTTGAAAAAACGGACCGATTAGAGTGTGAATTTTTCGGGCTCTGCAGAATATGGCGTCCTTATGAAAATATAACAGGCTGCCATTTTTGTTTTTTTCTTTTGTCTGAAATGTTTTTGGTGAAACTGTGCAGGAATGAGTCGGAGGCTCTGGTTGACCAGCAGATTGAGAGATAACGATGTTGCTAAAGTTTTCTGACAGTTGTTTTTCTCCACTGATGCGTCAGAATTGCTACTTTAGATCTTACTGTTATGCTCTTTTTCTTTAAAGAAAAAAGGGGACTTTTGGATTCTTTCAGAATTCAGACATTTTCATCATAAGCTATTGAAATCACCATAAAATGTCTGAAAAACTGTTATTAGCTTATTAAACTCGAGACAGTGATACGGCAAATATTACAAATTCTCACACTTCACATGGGCTGATGATGACTCATTTGTTGGCAGACAAAAATAAAATGTGATCATCATGGTAACCACCAAAGTCAGAAATTGGGCAAATTAACTGAAATTTTAAAACTGTTGATGAAAATGTTTCATTGTACTGTTTGGATATTTTTTAGAAAGTCTTTATTTACCTTTTGGGAGATTGTTTAAGTTATATTTATTTTCATTTTACAACTCAGTCACTTTCTATAGATATTGCAAAGTTTTGCAACATCTCCAGATATGCACATCAGTATATCATAATGCTTGTAACACTGTTTAACAATAATTCATATTTTTACAGAACTCTGACGGTTGGGTTTAGGGTTGGGGTAGGCGTTAATAAAATAAAATGCATTGGGTAATTTAAATAACATAAATAAAACTCGACAACATTTGTTTTTACGTGACGGTTGGGTTTATGGTTGGGGTAGGTGTAGCTGTTAATAAAATACAACTAATGGGAATTTTAATAAATAAAGTCATTTCCGTTTAACATTTTAACACTGTTTCAGTACTGTATACTGTGATGGTTAAAGTTAGGGTAGGGGTTGGCATTTATAAAAAACAATTTATTGGGTAAATTAATAAATAACATAAAACTCGGTACAACAACTGTTTTTACATTACTGTGACGGTTGGGGGTAGGGCTAGGTAGGTTGTTGCTAGATCAGATATGGTTGTGGTCAGAAGTTAACGAAAATGATTTATATTATTTATTAAATTTTCCATTTATTGTATATTATTGTACCCCAACCATCACAGTAACATAAAAACAGTAGTTTTACCGAACATTATTTATGCTATTTATTAAAGTGCCCAATAAATTGTATTTTTCAACGCCTACTTGGCTGTGTGATTAATTGAAATCAGATCGCAATCGTAATTTGAAACGTTGCGATTATTTATCGCAAGAGGCTGCAATATGACATGATGTGTGTATATATATATATATATACACACACACACATATACATACATATATATAATTTAATTTCCCCCACCCAGAGCAAATGCACGACTGCAGTCTGTGTGTGACAATTGTACTAGCCAGTTAAGTGACCACACTTTCGCTTTGCCCAATCAGAGTTGTGTAACCAAACTAGGCAAAACGCCCACAATAATAAAATAAAACAAACAGGAATGCGCAGACAAGTGGGATAATGCTGCTCCAGAAACATTAATAGACAAATTAATATATTTATATTTTAGATTTGAAAGTCACAAACACTGAACAAAAACAGGTAATTTTAAAGAGCTTTTGCAGAATTGTTGCCACGCTTAAGGATTATTGAGCTAAAAAAAATGAAATCATAAATCAAAATTTTACTCGCAATATGTAAAAAAAAAAAAAAAAAATTGCAATAAGATATTTTCCCCAAATCACACAGCCCTAATGTCTAGCCCTACTCTAACCCTAAACCGTAACAGTAATGCAAAAAATGTGTTATTGTTAAGAGTGTCAAAATGCTGCTATATTGATCTGCATATCGCACTTCAGGTCATCCACGTACCCTAACTAGACTCTACCTAGGGGGTAAACGTTAATAACATACAATTAGTAGGAAACTTAATAAATAATAAAAATAATTCTCGTTAATTTCCTGCCGCAGTCATATCTGATCTAGCAACAACCCTCCAAAATACACTGACCACAGCTGTCAGGTCCTGCACATAAATTCTGCATCCATTACCTTCACAACTTTTCTTCTTTTATTTTTAAATAAGTGATAAAACTAGAACGTAAGCACAAATGGTGCTAAGAGATTATATATGCTTTTGCTGGATTCATTTTATCTAACATTAATTCTACTTATGTTTTATTTAATTACATTTTTATAATATTTTGTGTTTAATAGTGGAATCCATTAGGGGTGTCAAAATTAATTGTTTCTTCTGTGCACCGCGATGCAAATGGGACAATTCGATATCAGTTCAGTAATAGATCATAACCGGTTAGTACGTACGTAGTGTACTATACGTAGGGCGAGTAAATAAAAAGCTCCTACTACTTAAAAGGTAGATAATTATGCACAATTCAACTGCTTGTGAGTTTGCTGGAAAGTCTTTTGTTGACACTGAAGAAGGCACAGCACACGAGACGCTAGTTCACTACTAGGGTGAGATGCTGTAAAAATCCATCTCTGCCTCTTTCTCTCACTTTAGACATTTGACCCGTTGCGCTGGCCTGTTTGTGTGGTAACTTTTCCTCTCCTCTTGGCTGTTAAAACGATACTTGTGGATCCAGACATGAGCGTGCCTGTGGTACAAGTTTTCTCCACTGTGTCTATTACAGATTACCTGTGATAACCGCATATTATGCGCATATAGACTAACCGCGTCTGATCTTCCCTCGTCATTCATCAGTGAACAGCGCTTTCATTTCTAAAGCCAATCGCAGCCCTTTCTGTTGAGCAGGTGAAGACAATGACGAATTATAGGGGTGTAAGTCAGTGCTCATAATGGAAGCGGGATAATTTTTACATTAGTTTATTTGCTATAAATGCTCATGCTGTCTTCTGCGAATGTATTGGAGTTTTTTTCTAAAACATTCAAAAAGAGTGTTTTCTTTGAACAGGTAAAATTAAAGGTACAGTTCATATGTCTTACTGCTGTATTAAAAAACAAAATTGTATTACAAATAATATATAAATATTTATATGTTAATATATTAATAGATTTAAAAAAAATTATTCCTGTGAAGAAAAAAATCTAATTATGTATGGAAAGCATCGTCAGTGCACCTTGATGGATCGAGATATCAAATTGAACCAAATCGATGGCATGATAATCGTAATCAAACCGAATCATGAGACCAGTGTAGATTCACACCCCTAGAATCCATACAGAGTCATCTTGAGAAACGCTGCCAAAAGTAGGGCTGCACTATATTGGATAAAAAAGTGGAAAAAATTTTAATAAACTATTAGAATTAATTACCACGTTTTAACCATAACCCAAAGAAGATACAAATAGTAATTTTTTATAGTAAAAAACAACAACATGCAAATGTAAAGCCATCAGCCTTCAAATTAATATTTTTTTCATAGGATTGGTGTGTTTACGTTAGATTAACAACACAGTAATAGCGTCACCTGCTGCAGATTGATTTTAAGGCACCAGGTTAAACTTTCTGACACATTTATGGCGATCAAATACATTAAAAAAATACAGACCAAAGCTGAACATCTAGAATAATCTCTGAGTGGTGGTCTCCAAAATTAAATCAATAATAGACTTGAAAACATTGTGTCCACCGGTCTCTGAGGTTAATATTAAATTAAACAAACTAAAAAATGACTATAAAAATGATATAGTTGTTATACTGTTGCACTTTTTTTGTGTTGTCAATATGCTCGTGTTTATATAGTACTATTTTTGTGTGTGCAACGCTTGTATATTTATAACCATCTCCAAGGAATTTGCAGGTTGTGTGTCTCTGACATTGTTATTTTAGGGGTCGCAAAGTTTGAGAACCAATGTTGTAGAGGAGTGCAAAAAGTATAATCAACAAATCAAAAGTTGAGCAAATACACAAATGATACAGAAATACAATAATCTAATAAAATACAACAAAGCTGTATATTCTTCATTGTGTAAATAATTAAATACAATTAACCTTTTTTAAAGCTACTAACATAAATTTCTTGTGGGCATATGCTTTAAACTTGCTTAAACTGTCCTTAAAACACAAGCAATTGGTACACTTTCTCTTTATTATGGTTAAAAGTGCCTGCAAAATTATCATATGTTCTAAACTGTTGTACTTGGTCAACTATAATCCTGACTCCACATTGCACATCATGCTATGTGACTATTGGGTATCCGCACATAGCGATATCAATGCTAAAATGATAGATTGTGCAGCACTAGGCAAATGAGATCTTTGGCTTAAGCCACATTCACAAAGAAAATTATTTAATGCGTCTTAGTTGTTTTTAATTCCGTTGTATTGACAATACTTCATGATATTATAGTATGTCAATCATTAAAGGGATACTGTACACTGTAAAAAAAAAAAAAAATCGTAAAAAAAAGGTCAAATGACTGGCAGCTACGGCTGCCAAACAAAAACCATAAAATTAAGGTAAAATTTCTTTGTTGAAAGAAAGTGCAAAAAATATTAAATCTACAGATATTTTCATAAAA